TTTTTGCAGGTGGATCCCTGATGAGAACTGGCATGGCGCCCCCGGGTGTCCCGTCAAAACCGCCTTTTCCCCGCTTGCTTGCCCTTGGAGGACCCAGGCTGGGGGGCAGGCCGAGACTGCCTCTTGTGGGCGCCTCTTATAGTCCCACGACTTCTTATAAGCAGTCTCATATTTTGAATGGGTGGCCTGAGCGAGAGTCTGCTGCGGCTTGAACTTAGGTTTAGCCAGAGCCGGAACATAGAGACCCAGAGTCTGGAGAGTCGTGCAGGAGTCTTTCAGGCCATGCAGCTTCGTATCCGTTTGTTCCGCAAAGAGAGCTTTGCCATCACACGGGAGGTCCTACAGGGAGGTCTGCACCTCGCTGGACAGGCCAGAGAGCAGGAGCCATGACGCCCTTTTCATGGACACCACGGAGGCCATGGACCACGCGGCCGTGTCTGCTGCATCCGAAGCTCCCTGCAGGGTTGCCCCGGCAGCCGCTGTGCCCTCCTCCACCAGCGCTTTGAAATCCTTCCTGTCGCACTCCTGGAGGGAATCCTCGGACTTGGGCAGGGAGCCCCACAGATTGAACTCATACCAGCCCAGGAGAGCCTGGTGGTTCGCCACCCGTAACTGGAAGCTTGAGGACGAATAAATTTTTCTTCTAAATGAGTCCAGCCTCCTTCAATCTTTATTTTTCGGGGTAGGGGCTGGTTGGCCCTGCCGTTCCCTGTGGTTGACTGACTCGACCACCAGGGAGTTAGGAGCAGGGTGAGTGTATAAGTGTTCATGCCCCTTGGCGGGTACAAAATACTTGCGTTCCGCTCTCTTAGAGATAGGGGCCAATGAGGCCGGGGTTTGCCACAGGGCATTTGAAATTTTCGCCACTCCTTCGTGGAGAGGCAAGGCCACCCTGCCCGTTGCCGAGGAGGACAGTACATTAAACAGGGAGTCCGAAGGCTCCTCCATCTCCTCTGCTTGGAGGTGGAGGCTTGATGCTACCCTTTTTAAAGGTTCTTGGTGGGCCCTAAAGTCCTCCTGCAGGACGGAGGGAGAAGGGGCCATAATCGCTTCATCCAGGGAGGGTGAAGAGGCCGGTGCGGTACTTTGTGTGTCCATCGGCACCGGAGGGTCCACCACCTGGTCGGTCTCCAGGCACGGTGCCAAGGATGTACATCCCACCGACTCCTTCCTTGGAGGTCTGGAGAGGGAGGCCAATGGTCCTTCTGAGGCTCCGGCCACTGAGCAAGCCCCACCCGTGGGCTGCATCAGGGGCCACAGTGCCCACTGGTACCATTGGACCGGCCATGGGGCCTGGTGCCTCTGCACCTGCTGTGGCACCGGCGGAGCTGGCTGTTCAGCCTGGCCCATCGATGGACAACTACGAAGGGAGGCCAGGCTGACATATGACTTGCCACTGTCCCTGGACCGGGAGAAGCGGTGGCGCCGGGAGCAATGCTGACCACAGGACCACGATCCCGACGTGGAGGACCAGTACCATCAGTAACAACTGCTCCGCGATTGGCTTCAGTGGGCGGACCCGCGACGGCGAGACGCAGGTGATCAACGCCCGGGGCTGCGGAGGCGGTGCTGTGGCGGGGTCCTGGAGCGGGACGACGAACGGGAATGACGTCAACGTTCATGCTGTGACCGGCTGCAATAGCCCCTCCAAGATGAGCACCTTTGGCGTCGTCTGCCTCGGTCCCGTCGGTGTTCGCTCCTCGAGGTGGAGCAGTGCCAAGAGTCTCGGTCAGACAGAACCCAACCAGACAGCCTGGGGGGTGTCCAGGGCGATCCACATGGACTTTGCCCTGAACGGTCGCTGGGCAACGAATGGCATCGGGAACATTCCCTCGACCGAGACCGGTACCGAGCCGGGGGTGACTGCGGAGATACCAGCGGTGGCTTGCCTCTGGAGCGCGGGGCCGACATTGGCGGTGCTCCTGGTACCGGCTGCCTGCAGGGCCTCCAGTGTGTAGGGCATCCAGGGAGGCCTGCTCCAAATTGGCTGGGCTACTCCACTCGACTTGAGTAGGAGGCCTAGCGGCCAGTGGGGATCAAGGACTGCCCAACATGGGTCTAGCCTCTGTCCTGGGTTTACTCCAGTGCTGCGGTGAAGAAGGCCTCTTCCTAGCCTTCTTGGTGTACCCCATGGACGGGGAGCGGTGCCAACTAGTCGATGGCGCCAAAGGGTCACTGCGCACCAACATTGAGGTGCCTTGTGTCGACTAGGAGCGGCACGCCGGAGCCGTGGTCAGCCCCGACTCCATCAGAATAGCCCGGAGCCTAATGTCCCTTTCTCTCTTGGTCGGAGGCTTAAACGACTTGCAAATCTTGCAGCGATCGCTGAGATGGGCTCCCCCAAACAGCATAAACAGTCCGTGTGTGGATCACTCACTGGCACAGATTGCCTACAAGTGTCGCACGACTTAAAACCCAGGGCACAGGGCATGCCCCGGCCTGGGCGCACTAGCTAAACTAAACTAAACTAAACTAAACAACTAACTAACTACAGGTACCATACACTGAATGAACAAGCAGTTTTGGGGATGAGCTACAGCAAAGCTGCAGCAGAGCAGTTCCGAAGCATCTTCACTGGCAGCAAGAAGGATCTGAGGGTGGCGGGAGCGTGCAGCGCTCCTTATACCACGCCATGGAGGCGCCACTCCAGGGGTTGCGTCCGGCACTGGTGCACGTGGCGAGCACGCGCACCTATTGTGGAATACACATGAGCAATCACTCGAAGAAGAAAAAATGGATATTCGCACAGCTCTACTTACACTGTCTGGGCCCAACCCTAGGGTCCTACAAAGATCAATGGGAGTTTCGCATGGGGAAGGACTGCAAAATGGAAATTAAAAGTAATATGTAAAAGTATTAAAGAATGAAAGTGAAGTCAACTCAATCTATTCATTTCCTATTTCTGAAATCCCTTTAATTGTTTGGAAGCTAGTACCTATTCCTCTTTAATATAAGGTGTTTAAACATTGGTCAACCACAATATTTTTAAAAAGTTGTTCTTAAGACTGTGAAAAGCTTATAAATATATTTTCCATTGCACACATTTCCTGCAGCTATAGCGGTGGATTGATCTCTTGTTCAAAGAAAAAAAAAAAAACTTGGCACTCTAAAAGCCCAACAGAACCTTACAATAATATCCTGACTTATATTACAAGAAATTATTGTTTTAAAATAGTCAAGCAGTCAAATCCTTAAGTCGGGCAAACTCAGTCTGCTTCAAATGGGAGTTCTGCCTGAGTAAGGACTAAGTGAAAACTTAATAACTTTAGGATTTGGCCAAATGATACACAAAAACGCTTTGGAGATCCTTTGATAGAATATGTGACAGAAGTTCAAAGGGTTTAATGCTCATTAAGTAAGTCTCACAGCACCCCTGTGAGGTATGTAGAATGGCTGGCTCAGAGATTGGTAATGGAAAACACAGCCTTTCAACTCCAGTTCACTGGTTCAAATCCTGATCACGTTCAGAGGGACTGAAAGTTCATAGTTAACAGTCTTGCTTCTAATACTCAGGTTAGCAGAGACCCCATAACAATAGGCATCAACACTGACAGATGGGGAAACTGAGGCGCAGACTAAGATTTGCCTCAGGCCTCCCAGGAAGTCTGTGCTTTGCAAATGCATTTCAGCATCCAGTGGCCGTGGGGCTAAATTTACTCCAGGACTCAACATATTTCCCTGACAAGTACTATGCTGAGGGCTGAGTCTACTAGTGTTGGTGGAAAATACCTGTACTAGCTTAGCCCTTCAAACCCATGTTTCTATAGGTTCACATCCTCACTCCTTCAAAACAAACCAACTCTTTCCCCATCTCCACGCACCTCCCTTGGAGACCCCATACTCTGAATTAATGCTTCCCACCTAACAACAACGGATTGCTAGGCAGCCCCCTTTTCAAATTAAAACAATGAATATTGGGGTTACCCAGGCTTAGTTTATTGGGGGCGGCACTAATTATTTAAATTTGTGGCTGCCCAGCATTGCTTGATGGAGAGTTACACATTAATAGTGTGCAGCCCCCACAATCAGTACATGCTGCATACCCAGTAAGCTAGTGGTGGGGAGCCCTACAAGGGATTTTGGCTGGGCCATATCTCTATGCAGGGCTCTGTAGCCGCTGCTAGTCCATTTGCCCTGCTCTCACACAGAAAGCTTCTGGCCTCCTCTCTTACTCCCAAAGATAAGTGGTTCGGAGCTTGCTCTGCTCCTTGGCTTCCTCTCCTTTGCTTTGTAAACAGAAGCAGCTCTATCTATTTTGCCCACTGACTTTCCCCTCCCCTCCTCAATAACATTAGCTATGACTTCTTCACCCCTCCTCTCCAAGGAAGGAGCCAGTGACTTTCCAGCCCTAAGAAGCCCACTCACTGTGGGCAAGTGGGTTTTGCAAGTGTTTTATATACTCTGGCACCAGAACTCTTGGAGTGGAAGAGCTGATCACCCCTCTCTTTCTAATCATTAGCTCAGAAGCAATGGGCAGTAATAGGTGGCTCTTAATCCTACATGTGGTCACCCAGTTTCCGCTGAGGATCCCAGGAAGAAGTTAGGAGAACACTGTTCCCCAGAAAACATAGGACCTTGTGGTAGGTCTCAGCCCCCCCAAAAACTACAAAGGTAAGTGGTGAGAGGAGACTCAGGTCTGTGGAGAATGGACTCATACCCAATGACAAATGAATTTCCATGGACTGGCGTGCTGCCAATCCTCATTTGAACCCAACAGCAAAGTGGGCTTGAAAAATGCCCTTCTATAGGCACATGACATTTGTTTTCTGTTGAGGTAACACCCAGGAACTACAAAGCTGTATCTTTTCATCATCCACATGAGTCAGCAACAAATATTAGTGCCAGGTGTACACATTCTGGGAGTGGTATAAACACATTTTGCAATCTACTTGCTCACTGCTTTAGCTGTGAATGGCAGTCCATGTAACTCATGAAAACCAAAATACGTACAGCACCCCTTAAAGACATGTATTCAAATATAAAATGTATTTTTTTTGTACCTGCAGTCATCGAAGGTTGATCCAGGAGATGAGAGTGCAAGGCGCTTGCGTAACTCATCCCTCTCACGTGTAACCTGGCGGAGCTGAAATAAAATAGTCTCTAGTTTCTCATTCATCTGCCTTGTGTCTAAGACAGGTGGTGGGGATGATGCTTTGCCTGTTGTACCTGATAAGAATATAAACATTTTGATTAGATTGTCAGATAACTTCTCAAGGCTTGAACGAATAATATATTTTCATTACAATTAGCCAGGCTAAATGGATAAAAACCATGCATAAGAATTTTGTTTAAAAAAAAAAAAAACCACACAAGCTGCAGTCCTGCATGCTGGCTCGTGAGGCTCCAATGAACTCACTCAGACTGAGTGGGTGCAGGGATCTGACAATGCAGATTGGTTTGCAAGATCGAGGCCCTTACATACTTGTTGGTGACTCTGTTGACAAGTCAAGGTGCTAGAAGTGCAAGACATTTTATGGGAAATAAGTAGCAGCAGATAGAGAGGCCTCTGTCTACACTGGATATTTGTCCCAATTACAGACACTGGTTGCCAGCTGCTGGTGTGGCTGCAGTGTTGCAAATCCCTACTATGGGCAAAGCTGTTATTAACAATGGTGGAGCCTATTGCATGGATGAAACTGGAATAAGATCCATCAGTGCATGTAGCAGCTTTGCTAGTCTACACCAGGAAGAACAACAACAACAGTGCAGCTGCTCCAGAATTCCACCCCGCTTCCCGCAACACACACACACTTAACCTAACTATATACATTCACTGTTTTGCAAAGTATTACAATTGACTCTCTCTTTAAAATAACTTGACCTTTAGTTAACTATTTGCCACCACTGATGATGCAGGATAATAAAACATGGAAAGCCTGAGACATTTTGAGACAGTCTCTCAAGCTTCACGAAATCAGCTGCCAGGATAGAATCCATGCCCAAACATTGTGGATCAAGATGGTACAAAAATCTATAAAGACATTAAACATTATATAACAGCTTTGACATTCAAAAAGAAACTGGTATGTAATACCTGTACTGAGTGACAAAACAATTCAATACCCCTTGACACATCACAACAGATCAATCCAGTACATTTGAAATATGCCTTTTAAAAAAAAAATCAAAAAGGTACATATGAAAAGTATCTTGCATTACATTTTAAATATTATTTTCTAAAATGAGTTAACCACATATTTATCAAGCTGAATTACACGACAGTCTCCCAAATGGGTTGTCACACATGAGGTTTAGATGGCTGAATCACTCTTGTTGTTTTTTAAATTTCAGCAGTGACTGATGGTGCATAGGGTTACCATTCGTCCGGATTCCCCCGGACATGTCCGGCTTTTTGAGCTAAAAATAGCGTCCGGCGGGAATTTGTAAATGTCCGGACTTCCCCCCCCATGCAGAGCGCGTGCGGCTAACAGGGCAGCCGGCCGGATGGTGCCACTTACATGGGGCTCCGACAGCCAGAGAGAGCCCCTCCTCCGCTTCCCCTGCAGCAGAGATCACTCCCTCCCTCCCTCCCTCCCTGCATTCGCAGATCGCCTCCGGCAGTCTGGAGCTCCTCCCCCGCTCCTCCTCCCCTGCTGCCCAGCGTGCCGGGACGAACGGCAGGGTAAGGGGATCAGGGGGTCGGAGAAGGGGCAGGAAGGTTCTGGAAGGGGCAGTCAAGAGACGGGGGCGGGGGGGGCGGGAGGTTGGGGGGAACTTTCTGGGGGGGGGTGGATAAGGCTTTGGGCAGTCAGGGTACAGGTAGGGGGGTAGGGTCCTAGGGGGGGCAGTTAGGGTGGGGGGAGTCTTAGAAGGGGGCAGTTAGGGGACAAGGAACAGGGAGGCTTAGGTAGGGGGTGGGGTTCTGGAGGGCAGTTAGGAGCAGGGGTCCCAGGAGGGGGCAGTCAGGGGACAAGGAGCGGGGCGGGGGGGGTTGGGAGTTCTGGGAGCGGGGCTGTCAGGGGGCAGGGGTGGGGAGAGGGATCGGAGCAGTCAGGGGACAGGGAGCAGAGGGGTTTAGATGGGTCGGGAGTTCTGGGGAGGGGCTGTCGGGGGGGGAGTGGTTGGATGGGGCGTGGGAGTCCCAGGGGTCTGTCTGGGGGTGGGGGTGTGGATAAGGGTTGGGGCAGTCAGGGTACAGGTAGGTGGTAGGGTCCTAGGGGGCCAGTTAGGATGGGGGGGAGGGTCTCAGGAGGGGGCAGTCAGGGGACAAGAGGCAGGGAGGCTTATGGCTCTCTTAATGGCTCTCCATGCGTCTCTGGACCCTCTCAGCTGTCGGGTTTGGACGGAAACATTGCCTGAGGGTAGTGAGAGAATGGGTTATCGGTGAGGTGGGGGTGGGCGTGAGCCCGGTCAATAGGGGCAACCCCTACCAAGATCTGAGCCTTTTCTCACACGCCCGTTAGAGCTCGACATTATGCTGTTTGGGACCCCTCTTTGAGGAAAGCCTCTGGATTGCAAGTCCAACCGCTACCTCCTCGTGGTGAGAGCCGGTAACTGGCTTGGATAGCCAGGCGGATTGCGGAGGACGAACCCACATCCCACATTCAGTGGGGTGTGGGACGGGGTTGGGCAGCCCCATATGGTGCCACATGGATGCCCCCCTGGTAAGGGTAGCCTCCCCCAGGTACGGGTTGATTCCCCCTGGTAAGGGTTAGATTCCCCCTGGTAAGGGTAGTCTCCCCCAGGCACGGGTTAGTTTCCCCCTGGAAAGGGTAAGTTTCCCCCAGGTACGGGTTAGTTTCCCCCTGGAAAGGGTTAGTTTCCCCCTGAGAAGGGTAAATCTTTTAGCTATGGAAAAAAGTAATTTATATTTTTATACCGGATTGGCGCTGGACCGGGTTAATAACGCCCCCGCTGTTGGCTTTGATGCCCCGGCTGACAGTGTTAAATATATTAGGGGTGTGATCAGGGTCGCTGGACCAATGGATAAAATGGTGTGGACTATAATGAAGTCTCATGAGCATGAGAGTGAGAATCAAGTCCTCCCAGTGGAGCATGGAGAGGAGGTAGAGGAGAATGTTTGTGATGATCATGGTGAGGAGATTTTATCTATCTTACCGATGGTTTTTACAAGGGACACTTTTAATGATTTAACTATGGAAAGTTTCAATCCAGATTTTAAGTATTTAAGTACATTTGATGATCCATATGTTAGCGAATCGGGATATCTTAATGCTCATTTAGTTAATGGGTCTAGTTTATTAAATAGTTTTAGACCAAGTACTGATTTTAATAGGGATCGTAATAAGGATCTTAACAGTACTGGTAGTAATATAAATATATTAGAAAGTAGTTCATGGAAAGATGGGGTTTTTTATTTAGAGTATCCCGTTGATAGTTTTAATTGTCCAATATGTCCCCAGATATTACCAACATTTGGTAAATGGGCCAAACACATTAATGTGGTTCATAAAAGTAAAGCCATACGAGTTGTATGTAGTAAATGTGGAAAATCTTCTCAATATCATAATATAGCTTGCCACTACCCCAAGTGCATACCCAAGAAGGTGGATACCCCAATGAAGAGCCATACGTGCTCGGTCTGTGGGCTTGGTTTTCATACTAGATCTGGATTGAGCCAACACTGTAGACATAGACACCCTGCTGTGAGGAATGAGCAAAGAAAAGAAGATATGGCTGCTAAAAGTAAGATCAAAGAGGGATCGACTAGATCTCGTATATGGACCAAAGATGAGGTTGCGCAGCTTATACAGTTGGAAAGGAAATATATTGGGAAAAGGAATATAAATAAATGTATTGAGAGCGAGATGAGGACCAAAACGAATAAACAAATATCAGATAAAAGACGAGAATTAGCAAAGAAGAAGTTAGTGGTAACAGGAGATAGGGAGGAAGTGACTGAGGTAGAGGACATTAGAGTAAATATATTAGAAATTCCGCCCCCAAGAGAGAGGATTTTCCCACTAAAAGGACACCCAGAAGTGGATTTAGTGGAGAAAATATGTAAACGGGGAAAACAAAGTAGGGAGGGAAGAGAAATAATAAATAGTTTAGGGGAAATTGAAGGATTATTAAAGGAGGATTTAACAAAAGCTCTCGGTTGGGCAATGTTGGAAAAATTATGTTATTCATTAGTAGAGGGAAAGGACCCTAGAAATGAAAGTCAAATAGAGTTGAGGAATAAAGGAAAAGGGAAGATGAGAAAGGAGGGGAGAAGGAAGCAATTTAATGCAATTAGGAGATATGCTACAAAGAAAGCTAAGTATAAATTCTATCAACAATTATTTGATAAGGATAGAAGAAGATTGACTCGCATTATAATGGGAGAGCCAGATAAGGCTAAGTGTGCTATCCCTATGAAAGAAATTGAGGAATACTATGTCAATATTTTGGGAACAATTGGACATGGTAATATGATAGGGTGGCCATCATCCACAGAGAATGCGGATAATGATATATTAATGAGTCCGATCTCTGTGGATGAGATTAGAATAGCTTTAAGAGAAATAAGAAAAGATAGTGCTCCTGGCCCAGATAAAGTAAAAGTGAGCAATTTGTGGGATATTTTTAATTTAGACTCCTTAATACTTACAAAAATTTTTAATATATGGTTTCTAAATAGACAGGTACCAGATGAATTTAAGAAAAATAGAACGATTTTAATACCAAAGACACAAGATGAGGAGGAAATGAAGAAGTTAACATCTTGGAGACCATTGACAATTGGGTCAGTTTGGATTAGAATCTATACCAAAATATTAGCAAAAAGACTGGTGGAAACAGTTAAGATATGTAGTAGACAAAAAGGGTTTATATCCGCCCCTGGGTGTGAGGAAAATATTGCTATATTAGATAATTTGATTAAAGGGGCTAAACGAAATGGGAATGAAATTGCAATAGTGTTCGTAGATCTGGCTAAAGCATTTGATTCTGTGGGACACGGACATATAATAGCCGGGTTGAGAAGATTTGGTATAGATGAACATTTTATAGATATTATTAGGGACCTTTATGATAATTGCACAACTAGGGTATGGGTGGGTGATGAAGCTAATGAGTCTATTTTAATTAGGAGGGGGGTCAAGCAGGGTGACCCGTTGTCCCCAATTTTGTTTAATATTGCTATGGATCCCCTTTTAACTAGATTAGAAGTAGAAGGAAGTGGTTTTTATGTTAAGGGTAATGGTGTCACGTCATTGGCTTTT